GAGCAGGGAGCCTGATGCGGGGCTTGATCCCAGGACCCTGGGATCATGACCTGAGCTGAAGGCAGACGCTTAACGACTGAGCCACCCAGGCGCCCCTCCCTTTTATTATTAAAATGAGGAGTCTCTCCATGGAGAACATAGATCAATCAGCTCATACTGTAATGGGAGATGGTGTCTCAGAGACCCAAATACTGCAGGAGCAGTTTGCTACAATTAGAAGATGCCAAGTTTCATTCTAACATGGTTAATAAATCTTACATTTCAATCTTTATTAGGACAAATTATCTTAACAAATGGGAAATTCCTTTCAAGACCCCGAATTACCTGGCTTCTGTCTACCTCTACAATCCATCCGGTTTTATTCTCTACTTACCTGCGGCTTCAAATCCACGGTCTTTCTTTTAGCTCTTCAAAATCGCTCACCTCTTTTCACCACAAAGCTCTTCCTATGGAAGGTACTTTTTCTTTATTCAATGTGTCCTTTCCTTCTAAGGATGTTCCCTAACCACACAGTCTGAAGTAGGTCTCCTTGGTTATTCTCTTTTGCAGCACTTTTTTTCTTTTTAAACTTCATAGACCTTATCACAACTTGTAATTGCTTGTTTATTTGGGTGTTTACTTGATCATTCTCTTGTCCTCCCCATTACACTGTACAATACCAATGACAGTGATAACAATTTCCCACTATTTTTGCAAAGTTCACCTGTGCAGGAGGGAGGATTGGGTTAAGGAGATGGGCTTTCAGTGTCTCTTCTCATTTTGGATTGTAGGCTCTTTGGAACACGAGGTAGCTCTAGTACTGCCTCAGTGAAAAGATTTAGGGCTTTTATCATGGCCAGCCCATGTGAAGGTTAGTTTGTTATCCTACTGCTCAAAGAATCCAGATCCAGCAACTTGAAAAATAGAAATATCACCTGGATCCAAGACCAACTATATCATTTGTAGTGCCCAGTGTCAACTGAAAATATGGGATTTCTTGTTAAAAATTACTAAGAATTTCAAGATGGTGATGACACAGCATTATTTTACAAATAAGAGAGGACCTCTTATGAGCTCAGGGCTGTGTGACTACATTGGTTGAGCTCCCATAAAGCCAGGATCCCAGAGTCAAGCATGATTATCTTATAGGTGATGGAAAGCCACTGAAAGTTTTGTACTGTTTAACTACAAATTTAAAAACTTTTTAAGAATAACCAGAATTAGAAATAACATAGGAATCACACAGATGTATTTCAGCAAAATGATGCCATGTCTTTGCAGGACACGCCTTTCTTCTTTTCATCCTAGCTCTTTTGACCTCATGTGTTTCTACCTCTCCCAGCAAAGTTGCCTGCACCGAGATGTAGAAAGATCAAACCTCTTGGCACAGCATCTAAGTCGCTTGCTGAACTTACCCCTGCCTATCTCTTCAGCCTAGCTTTCAAGACACCACGTGACACCCTACCTGTAATGATTTACTGCCATGAAAGTCCCAGGCTGATCCAAACCTTCATATCTTTGCTAAGCAACTCCTCAGTATGGAATGCTCTTTCCCATAGCCTCTCATCTATCAAACACCTTTAAAAGGCTAATTCTCTAGGAAGCTTTAATAACATATACATCTACTCCTGTATGGTCCCTATTATTCCCTAGTTCTTTAAGACACTCTCTGAATTCCATATAAACATTTATCAAGACATGTTTTTACTATAATTTTAAAAATTACACTTACTTATTTACATGTGTAAAACTCCCAAATTGACTACTAGACTATATAAGCAAATTTAGGACAAAAACCCTGACATACCTTCTTAGTCTGTTATCCCCAGCTTAATTAGAGTCAAACAAGTTCAGTAATAGCTAAATGAACAGAGTTGAAAGATTAGATGATGATTTACACTATGTATATGACTGGCATTCATAAGTAAGACTCAGACACTGGCCTTAAGTATTTCATTAAGAGGTAGTCAAGTGTAGAGTGACAAATTACAGTAGAGTGACAAATGACTATGCAGTGTACTACACTCTTTATAATACCATGATTAGTAGCTTAACTTTTGGCCCATAGGGTTAAAACCCTGAGACTTTCAGGATTGTACATATAATCCAGTAATCCACTACTGGGTATTTACATAAAGAAAATGAAAACATGAATCTGAAAAAGAAGTACCCCTATGTTTATTGCAGCATTTTTTTTTTTAGTAATCTTTACACCCAACACAGGGCTTGAACTCACAACCCTGAGATCAAGTGTCGCATGCTCTACCATCTGAGCCAGCCAGTGCCCCTATTGCAGCATATTTTCAATAGCCAAGATATGGAAGGGCGCCTGGGTGGCTCAGTTGGTTAAGCGACTGCCTTCGGCTCAGGTCATGATCCTGGAGTCCCTGGATCGAGTCCCGCATCGGGC